CCCACCCCAAACACTGTTGTCCTTCCCGCCGCATTCCTGCGAGCGTCCGTCTGCCGTGCCATTCAAGGTGTGGATAAGATGTATGACCTCTCCCCCTTTTTCTCTCCTCGCCGATTGAAGTGCTCAACCGAGCATCCCGCGGAATACTTGACGGGCGGGCCGATCGGGGGGTTGTTCCACAGGGATTTGCGGTTGCTAGGGCGGCATTTTAGAGGCGCCTCCAACCCGCCGACGGCCCACAATGTCGTGAGAGTAGCCTTATCGCTCGCATCGGCATTCAACAGCAACAAGGGCAATGAGTTTCATCAATGTCGGCGTATACTGTACGTACACCGTTCCCTGCAGAAACCATCAGTCATCACAGCACAGGGCGCCCGCATGTGGTGCGTTGCATGAAATGGCTTAGATGTGCTGGTATCCAGGGATGACCCCAGTGGCATCCAAGCAAATGCAAGTAAACATAATGTGGTTATTTCCTTGATTTTTGGGACCAGGGAATCTGTGTGTTGGCAAGTGAGGTTTACACACCAAAGTTGGGAATAGGGAGAGGTTCCCTCGGCTGTCATACATAATGACCCTGTCAACTCAACTCAACTGTATTTATCGAGCACTTTAAAGCAACCATCGCTGTTTTCAAAGTGCTGTACATGGAGCAAAAAATAAGTCGCACAAAATAATAATAAATACATTAAAAAACAATTAAAAATCCTGTGTGCTCTAAAAATTGTTTTTCCTGCGCGCCCAAATAAAAAATGAATCTATCTATAAATTTATATATGAGAGAGAGACTTTTATTTAAGCATAAGCGTAAAATAAATCTTTTTTGATTGCCCCCCACAACAACAACAAAAAATCCTCTCACCAAAGCCATCAGAGTATACTGTCCGCAGATCCACAACAGACCAAAGATAATATCCCATGTCACTATTCAAGCACACCACAGGACAAAAAGCGAGTCTGGGCTTTGTTTTGAAAAGATCAGCAGGAGAGCCGGGCGGCATGCTGCGCCACAAAATGATGCTACAAGCCTCTTGGGGTGACATGTCCAAAGAATCACTAAGGGGGTCCCAAAAACGAGAGGAGGGGTACAGCCGGTGACGATGTTCAGCGGCATTGTAATGATGATGGTACGGAACAGCATGCTGTGTGGCAACAGGTCGGTGCAAGGTGGTGCAGGGGTCCATAGAACACCGGATGACTGTCAACAGAATGGCCTCACGGAGGAACACGTGGTAGCAAAGGTCTATTCAGTTGCACTCCGGGACACTCGGTTAATTCCACAATGAAGGGAAAGAAAAATCTTGCTTCACAGCGCTCCACTTCCATAGTATAGTAGATACAGCGGAAGCATAATGGGAGCTAATAGCAATTAGCTCAATATCATTCATACGATACCATATAGTTTTTGCCGGGGGAAAGTTTGTTTTAGCTTAATGCTAACAAACATTGCAAAATATTGTTCAGATGCTCACTGTTAGCATCAATAGGTGTGATTTTACAAACAATGAGCATGAACGGAGGTTCAACACATGCAAGTAACGTGACAATACTCACTGACATACATTGTTTTATATGATATATAATCGTATACTGTAGTCTTCTTCATTTGTCTCCATGACTGTATTACACTGCCTCCTGGTGGCCATGGCGGGCACACCAGAACAAACGGCACAATGAATTGCAGCATTAAGACCGTATCTCACTCGAGTGTTAACGAACGTAGCAAATATTTTTTGTTTTGTTTTGGGCTTTTTTTTGGGGGGGGGGGCATCGTTCATTAACGGTTGCAAAAGATGGCAAATACGATTTCCATTCTGCCACCAGATTGTCACTCTGCGAGCTGCATCTTCGAATGCACTCAACGATTCAGTTAGCATTGTATTATGACGCGTTGGCACACTTTTCCAATTGATGTACTGAAGTAACAACACGGTTCACGATTACTCACTCCCCTTGTGTCTGCAGCTGTCCAGGTGCACATTCTGAAGGCGGACAAGGCCGGCGAGTGGTGGAAGTTCACCGTCAACGTCATTTCCGTCTACAAGCAAGGCGAGAGCCGCATCCGCCGGGGGGACCAGTTCCTGTGGGTCCGCGCCAAAGACGTGGCCTGCAAGTGTCCCAAGATCAAGCCCGGCAAGAAGTACCTGCTGCTGGGCAATGACGAGGATTCCCCTGGTCAGAGCGGCGGCGTGGTAGCGGACAAAGGAAGCCTGGTAATCCAATGGAGGGACACGTGGGCGCGCAGGCTGCGGAAGTTCCAACAGCGTGAGAAGAAAGGAAAGTGCAAGAAGCCATAGATGGGGGGAAAAGACGCAGTGCGAGTGGGATTCCAGAGGAAAGCTTAAAATTGTTTTTTTTTTTTAAATGAACGAAACAGAGACAGACAGAAGACTACCGTCGAAAGAGACTGTTGACGTTGCTGCTTTTTGGTTTTTCGTTAAGTAGCATGAAAAGAATCATTTAGGAATTCTTCTCGAGTGAACTTTGGTTGAAGGAGCTCACCTCACAGATTTGGTTTGACCCTTTCTTTAACTTTGACACCCATCTCTTGCGGAATTGCCCGTTTTGCACCTAATACCAGTATGTCACCAATATATACTACTTGTTGGTTTTACAGTCAGTATATCATTTTTTTGTGTTGCTGTTCTATTGGCTTGTTCAAAAAGCCACTAATCACCAGGGAAGATTCTCCTCTGCATGGTTTTGTTTTTGGATGTTTGGCCGACAGGACAACTTGTTTCATGATGAAATGCAAATGCAAAAGGTTTCAGGTCAACACGAACGATTTTGGGATTCAAATGTTGAACACTTAACCTGGTTGTGCTTTACGTTACAATGAAATGCATTGCCTTGATTCCGTTACATCATTTTTAGATCCAGACTTCCCAAGACCAGGCCGAGAGACTGATTCGGAACCATGTTACAAGTTCTGTCACCGTTTATGAAAGCGGGTCAAAGTTCAATTAGGCTCTTGTGGAACGTAGATGAAAAGGGCCGTCCTGCATCTTTTCGATGTTTCCTACCGCCAACACACCCGATTCGGCTCTCGAGGACCGGATTCGGACACCCCCGGGGTAAAAGGTACATATTAATGTCACACTTGATATCCAGGATTTTGTGATGTTTCTTGACAAAAATATATTGGTTTACACCACTATATGTACAAAAAAATAAATGTATATGTCATTATATAAGGCAAAGGAAAGCAATATTCTTTCACTTGACTTAAGAACTCTAGAGGTAGTGACTGATCACGACCTAAATAGCTAGGTAGACTTTCAACATGCAGATAGGTATGTATTTAATTCAGTTTAATCAATGTAAAAAAATGGAAAAAATAAGAGAGATAAATTACAGGGAAAAAAAAAACGTATTTTTGTTTATTGCAAAAATTCTGTAGATTTCATCCAAGAAAACAAAGGAAACAAATCAGTAAGGTAACCTGCTATTCTTTAACTAAATACTCATTAAATGATCAAAAATCAACACTGATTTGGATTTTCTTCATTCAACATCTACAAATGTTCTCATTCCTGTGAAAACACACCATGCCTCACCTTCGTTCGCAACGCATGCTGCAACCTGGCAACGGGTGCCATGCGGCATTATGTTGCTCTTTGAACATTTATTTGATTGCATTTGAAATTGGATTTAGCCACCACAAACAAATATTTACCAGAATGTACATGAGTACGTTTCGTAAAGAAAAGCTTTACTGTAAACCACATGACACGATTGAGGTCCCCTTTCTCCGAATGCCAGTAATATGATCCAAATCTTACATCAAATCTTGCAAACTAAACACAGGGGCTCTGATATATGATTTAAAAAAAAAAAAAAAAAGGAGAACAACTTTTCTAGTCCAAGTATGACTCAGTATTTTAGGTGTAGTATTTGATCATGAGCCATTTTCCTCTGTGCAATGATTCATTACTCCACTTTTTTTTTTTTTTTTTAACCAACTGCTGCAAACACAATACATGAACATGTTTCTTTCATGGTTTCTCTTGCAACATCGTGTCAAAGGACAGCGTTGGTCCACCATGTAACCTTCCACATTTTCATACCACCCAGAGAGCTTGCCGTCAAAAGTGTTGCTTTGTGTTCATACTATGAATTGTAAATGCTGTTTAGTTGTCACATTTAAAGCCCTTTTTTTCTCTTTTTTTGCAATGTTGTTTTTACAATGTGTACTAATATATTATGGTTATTATATATAAATATATGAATATATTTAATTACACAAGCCATTGTGGATTTCTTTTTTTCCCCACCTTTTTTTTTCTTAAATGTGTCGTCATTGGTGAGACTGTTCCCATTAATTCAAGAAGGAAAATTATAACTACTGAATATACCAACCTGGTAGAAAGGCAGATTTTCAAATAAACTCTTGTTACACTGAAAAATATGTGGCCTTTTGGTGTCTTTAATTATAGATTTATATGCGCTTCTTCGGATAAATCAAACAAAAGTCCATTAAGATACACTTGGCAAACACAAAATCTTGAATTAAAATACAATCAGCAAGGAAAAGTGGCGTTGTGAAGTGTAAATGTCATTAAAAAAAAAAAAAAAAAAAAAAGATGACCTGAATAGCGTTGGATGGGATCTCCATTAACAAAGTGACAACATTGCTGAGGAAAAAAAAGGGAAACTTGGATTTATTCGTGATGCACATACTTGAGGTTAAGGATTCTAAATAAAATCAACCTCGAAGAGAGAACGTCTTCATCTGCGTTTGCATCCTACCATTCCCTCATCCAGAAGTCATCTAAGCATGTCGGCATCCACGCTGGCTACACCGGCCACACAGCCACCACGACAATCGCAATGAGAAGCAACACAATCACCACCAGCATCCCTGAGGAGGGGGAAGAAAAAACAAGAAAAAAAGAGGGTATTCAATCAGAAGACGCATTTTAAAGGTTGACGGAATAAATGCGCACAACTTCACAAAATTACCCAACAGGTGTGGCGTAAAGTCACAAATCAGATGATGGCAATAACGCAAAACAAATCTGTGGCTGGATCACTGTAATCGCTAACAAAACTAAATGTGGATTCCACCACCTGACACCAAAGTGTGACCATTATTGATTTGACCGAAGCACAATAACAGCAACTCGACGGCACTTTCAGCAAATTCGCAAATGCCAAACCGTGACTATGCAGGACAGGAAAAACGATAAGCCGCGATCTCAATATTCGGTCCCTTCCCCATCTTGCAACAACTTTTAAGCCACTAAACAGTGGAAGGATTAAGAGAGAGATTGACATATTTCTTTTGGTCATTAAAGTAATATTGATTAGCGCATTTTCCGCACTATAAGGCGCTTCAGAGTATAAGGCGCAGATTCAATGAATGGCCTATTTTAAAACTGTTTTCAAATGCAGAGCGCACCGAATTATAAGGCACATAGAATAGAAGCTGCAATCGTGGCTGCGGTGGCGTTATGCGTCCACCCAATGGAGCTATGCTAAAGGGAATACAATACAATACAGCTTTATTTATATCGAGCTTTCACAACCACTGCAGCTGGAACAAAACACTTTACAGAACACTTAAAATACTACGTCCAAGAAATCAAAATATTGAGCTATAAATAAGACACATCGGATTATCAGGCGCATTGTCGGCTTTTGAGAAAATTGAATGGTTTATAGGTAGGCCTTATAGTGCTGAAAATACGGCACTCGAAATTTCAACTCAAGAGACTGGGGTAAAAACACATTCATGGAGGTGTGAAGAGCCCTTTGGGGCTCACCGCTAATTTCTCCTTGATCCTCGAACAAGCCTTATGAACGGATCCTCTCACCATACATCGGTATTCTTCTCCTGATGACATAACGCAAATTACACGCATTCACCAACCGCCGAGGTCTTATTGCGCACTGTGATCGGCATGCGTTTGTGACTCTGCCCCGAGTGGATAATCACTTTTTTTCCCACTGATACTATGGAAGCAGGGATGAATCTGTAAACAGGCCCTCACACAGCCACAAAGTGTTTTGCCCTGAGGATGGGAAAATATCCCTTTCTATTATTTTCAGCCTTTATCAATAATTAAAATACACCACAGTTGGAATTGCGGGGGAGAAAAAGGGCAGACGTCTGACATACTGTATGTCTGTATTTAAACAATCCCCCCCCCCCCACCATTAGTATAAATGAAGTTTAGGGTCTGCATGCCCCCCCACCCCCCCGAGAAACCCCAAGTGGTCTGTGAGTAATCCATTCAATTCAAGTCATGTGTGCGCAGTGAGACGTTATCCAAGTAACTGTTGTGATTCATAAAACCTCCTCCAAGGACACGAGCATTAACCAGATGCCTCCCCTTTATTATTTTCCCATTAGAATGGCCTGAGTGAAGATTCCAAACAACTGCGTCTTGGGCTGGGCCGAAACGCTGTCGAGAGTCCCGTTACGGACTCGAGACGTCCGCTGTTATTAAAGCATGCGGCTGGTATTTTGCCCGGGCCTTTCACTTCAAGTTTACATTTCTCTCATTCTTTGGCCTGCCGTGCCTTCGTTCCCACCCGGCAGCCTAATTAGTCGTCTTTCCCCAAAGGGGGAAATACAGGGTGAGTTGGTTTGAAGGCATTCTTGGAGAAAACTACGCTTGTGGTCCTCTCGGTGGTCTGATTAAATGTATCATTGCTTGATTTGGCAGCTTTCAAAAAAAAAAAAAAAAAAAAAAAAAAAAGTCGAGAATCCAGTTTGTTTTTGCGCCAAGCACGGCGCATACTTGTATACATTATAACTTCACTTTAATACATACATTAACAATGATTGATCCAATATCTGTCGGCAATCCCAGTGACAACAAAAGAATTATGATGGCTGAGGTGTGTACCATAAGCATGTGTTGCATTTCCACGATTCTCACACTGTAATACAAGCCAGACTTTGAGCCACATGATGACCCTCCTCCTCGTCTCCTTCGAAAAATCATTGCCCATCTCCGACTAAACAAGCCCCTCTGGAGACTAAAAATGTGCTCGCCAAATAGATTCCGAGTCTTCCGCGACAGTGATGCTTGAAGGAGACGCTCTGTGTCTGTGGATGGATCGACCACCCAAGAGGTCCAGAGGCCCATCTTAGCCATTTTCAGACACATCACAAGACGAATCGCAGAGAAGCAACAAATAATTGGTGTGAGTGCCAGACAGGCGCAGGCAAACCCTCAACCGCCCACACTAGTCACTCCGTGCTCTCCGCTTGTGGTTCAAAGACCTCTTCGGACCACAAAAAGGATCCGATGACCCCAAAAGAAAAGGGGCACATTTTATGGAAATAAAGTTATCCTAACACGCCAGCACATCGGCGCTTTGGCAGCTTTCTTAACGGTTTCTGGATGAAACAAATGAAACAGATAACATCAAGATAATGTGGGGATAAATTACACTTCAGACCACCGCCCTGGCATTGCAGAACACCCTTATACAGAGACTTGCCTCATCTGTTATGGTTCTGATGCTACCAAGGCAGAAAATTCCCGGTTGATTTTGTCCCCTCATTTTACTTTGGGGCCGGTAAAAAACAGAGCTGAGGAAACTGAAAGCAAAATGGCAGCTTTTACAGACACTACATTTGTTTCAAGTTTCCGACAGTAGTGAGTACATAAAGACACCAAGCACCAAATCGAACAAGTCTTGATCTCATTTACATAAATGACTCTTAAAGGTATTGTCAGTATAGATTATTTGCCAAGCATTTCACCAATACAGTAGTTTGCTTCCAGTCCCACGTGCACAAGTTGACTTTAAATTGCGTTCAGGATTACTGGGCTATCACAAATGGTACGTTACCAAATGTGGATTAGCTCTGAAGAGAAGGGAAGTGCTTAAGCGCTAATGATGTTGCCTGGTCGTGATGTCTAAGCTCCACAGAAACTCATACCACCTTCCAAAGGATTTCTTGCTCCAATAGCCTAATGGATTCAAAAAGGGATTCAAAGAATACCGGTACTCGAAAAGTACTCCGATACTTGTTTCCAATACCATGTGGGGATTTTTTTATTTTATTTTATTTTTTTTTTAGTATCGGTATTTTAGGAGTGACAGTGACAGAGCTGGCTCCACGCACCACTTAGCATCTGCACGGCGCTGTTTCACGCCAAAAGTAAAAAATGGGCAGAACCTTTCTCACTCAGATGAACTGTCCAAACAATAAGTCATGGGGTGGAAAAAAAAAAGAGAGACAAAAATGATTTTTTGGTGATAAATAGGCTTTCTTCTGTAAAACAATTTTTAAATGTTGCAACAAGGCAAGAAATCTCAGTCGCTGCGAGATATAATTTGGGTTTAAAAATGCTAACTAGCACTTAAAAATATTTAACTGAGATTCTGTCAGTTGTTTCTTTTATTATTAATAATTTCCATTAACACTCTCCACTCCCGAAAATTGTTCTCAACTAATAAGAAAAATAACAAAAATTGAAATTCAAAATTTTGACATCTACTTTACTGCTCTCAAGATATTAGTTGTGGACAGTTGTTGATACCCCAAAAATGTATATTCTAGTCAACCAAAAGCTCTTTCTCTGCTTCATACAAAGACGGGCACCAAACAACTGCAGAGACAAAGAATGGAAAAAAAAAAGAATGATGTAGAGGAGCGGAAGGGAAAATTTTTCCATTCGCATAGAGGCCAAACGCACAGCAATATACAGTGAGCAAGCATGTATGCACAAGGACACTGTTTTGCATGCCTCCAAGTACATTTGGGAATGGACACACCCTGAAAAAGGAATGATGTAGATGTATTAAAATGTATTACACACAACAGCGGTGAATGTAGTGATGAAGGAGAGTGGCGGCCCTGGGATCGACAAATAAGCTCACACTCGGGCACCATGGGGACATGGCCAACAGAGTCAAGCATTTCAGGGGCGAGACCTCCGTAGTGTCTGCTCTGCTTCTGTTTCGCCTCTTTGACTGCTAACAGGCTCTCATCCCACAATAAAGCGCGATTTGCTTAAGCAATACTGCCCGAGTTCAACGGGCAAACGGAGGTCAGCTCACGCATTCCAGAGATTGGCTCGAGCCAGCTGCAGTGATTCCCCCTCCGAGAAGCTGTTGACCAACATTTTTTGGAAAGGCCGCTGAAAGCGTTAAACAACAATTGAAGCGGATCTGGGGTAATGACGAGCACGAGTGACACATTGAAGTAATTAACTCATCAAAACCAATCAAAATTGAAGACATCGGGCCACAGTTAAATCCCAATCCTCGACCCATGAAGTAGGTGTCTCATTAGAATGTGTTACCGTATTTTCCGCACTATAAGGTGCACCTAAAAGCATTCAATTTTCTCAAAAGCCGACAGTGTGACCTATAATCCGATGCGCCTTATATATGGTGTCACAGTGTCTTTATATTCCCCATTGAGTCGTTTGCCTGTTAGTGCAGGGGTCCCCAACCTTTTTTGCCCCACGGACCGGTTTAAGTCAGACAATATTTTCAGGGACCGGCATTTAAGGTGTGGCGGATTAATACAACAAAATAATATGGTATGAGCTGCATGAAAACTGGTGTTTTCGAAATATAATAATAAACACAAGGAGCGTCTAATCTGGTCGCAACACTCTTATCGCTCTGGTAATGTTTAATGCCTTCAAAATACGATACAACGCAAATTCAAAGTGCATGAAAATGACGACTCACCACAGCCCCGAGCTTGATTTTCTGCAACCAGACGGTCCCATCTCGGGGTAATAGGAGACAATGACACCTCAAGTGTGTGGTTTATGTCGAGTCTACTTCGTAATTTTGTTTTAGTCGTCGTTGCTGCAGAAACTCCACACCTCACACAGGTAGGATGCCGGAAATAGCAACAGTGCTATTGTGGCGATCTCAGAGTATTCAGCCATAACTTTGATCCAGTTGTTTCGAACGTACTTTTAAGGCCACCGTCATTTGCGATCTCCAAGCAGCTTTTTTACTCATTTTGCGGGCTTCAGCGTTTTGTTTATGAGCGTCATCGGTCACCTGACCGAGAAGTGTGCCTTGACGTGAGTCAAGCGTGACACAGACGGATGTAACAGAGAATCCGGTAATTTTTCAAAATAAAACATATTTCGCATTCCGAAATAAATAAAACGGAAATAAGGCAAGTTCTTTCTGTGCGGCCCGGTACCAAATGCCCTGCGGACCGGTACCGGTCCGCGGCCCGGCGGTTGGGGACCCCTGTGTTAGTGTGTTCCTATGCCATCTAGTGGTGAACGAATTGTAACCTAAAAGGGTTCTACCCGACACTAATTGACAACACACACTCAAACAGACAACTACTCTGTGAGGTCTGCACAACCATTATGAAACGAAGATAATACCAAAAGCATAGTTAACTAGTGACTAAACGAAGGAAGAAGGAGACAAGCAAGACTTCTAAGGATATTTTGTGTATGTGAGCCCACGAGATTTGGGTGCCTTTTTGTTGAATCGATTGTCTTCATAACTTTTGTCTTTCATTTATTGTTTTGTAACCCCATTTGTAGTTATATGTTTCATGTCCGTGTTTGTGACCCCTTCTAATGGCTTTGTTACAGCTGCAGTGGTTGTGAAGGCTCTATCTAAATAAACCTGTATTGTATTGTATTGTATTCCCTTTAGCGTAGCTCCATCGAGTGGGTGCAAAGTGCAACCATTGTCATTATTGTGGCTTCTATTCTATGCGCCCTATAATGCAGCGCGCCCTATTTATGAAAACAGTTTTAAAATAGGCCAATCATTGAAGGTGCACTTTATCATCCAAAGTGCCTTATAGTGCAGAAAATACAGTTGCTATCTTTCGCAAAAAGCTAGACAGTAAAATTTTGTTTTCTCATGCACTGCTCCATCTGTATTCTGCTCGACAGTTGACCATACCAAAGACTTCAAACGAATGAGTGAGACCGATAAATGTTGGAATGTTCTTGAGGTGATTTATCGACCCCTGGCCTGACTTGAAAATAACGATTGAGACCAATAAATGTGATGAAGACGCTTACTGAAAAAAATAAATCAAGTCAAGGTGATCATCAGCACAGTTGCCCTCTGCTGACTATTTGAAGGAAACAATTCGCGGCACTTTTCCATGACATAGTCACATTTTTAACACTGAGCAATTGCTCTAAAATGCACTTTGGCGTTAATGTATCAGACTTTTTGAAGCCAATTGTCAAGTTTTACATCATAAAGTGAAGAATGCAACTCACCACAGGAGGCGGACTTTTTCTCCACCAGCTGCACTCGTCGTGTCTCATTGCGAATGCGGCCATCCGTCTTATCCACGAGATGCGAAAGGTCATCGATGATTTCTAAAAAAAACAAAAAGGGCCATTTGGTCAAGACAATTTTGCCTATTCGTCTCAAACAAAGTATGATTGAATTCACAACAACATTGTTTTATTTTCTTAGTGGTGCAATTTAAGGCGTTAGCAGAATACACATTGAAAAAATTACATTGGTCCAAAAAATTTTGAGAGATTGTTTTCAAGTAAACCTTTCCAAAAGTTTTCTCTCTTTAACAAATCAGTTTTTTCATAAAAATAATAATGTAATAAAAACAATACGTCACACAGTGATATATGTATAGAGTCACATTTATGAATTAAGGATTAGGTTCAGCAACAGAAAGAAGAAAGAAAAATTCCTGAAACATCATTGCTGTAAATTACAACAAATGGTAAAATCTGTATTGGACAAGCTTTTATTGGTCAAATTTTAAAACAAAAAAGGAAAATCTCTCTCTCATATATATATATATATATTTTTTAAATCACACTCAAAAATGCGTCGAGGAACTCCTAATGCCAGGTTTGAATACAATTAGCTGTTGCCCAGTGTTACTAGCTTTAGTACAAGGGTATCAAACTCATGTTTGTCGCGGGCCACACTGTAGTTACGGTTTCCCTTGGAGGGCCGTTATGAATTTTGGGAAACCATATAAATGTTAAATCCCCTCCACATATTACATACACAGCGCACAACAAATTGATGAATAACTACTTGTCAGAATCAGAAGTCAAGAATAATGACTTATTGTGGATTACATGTGACAATTTGAAATTTTGGTTCAGACTTTAGCAAGCATCATGGAAATTGACATGCTTGATTTGCTTTCGCGGGCCACATAAAATGATGTGGTGGGCCAGATATGGCCCCCGGGCCTTGACTTTGACACCTGTGCTTTCGTAGATTCATTTTAAGTTTCAATACAGAGTTTTTATAAGGACAGAATCCGGTTGTTAATATAAGACATTTGTCTCTGGAGATCTCTGGATAACACAACAATCCCGTGAAGTCATGTGTCAGCCCATTTCAGGGAGAAGCCGGCTTGCCACATGTAGGCACCGATACATTTGCCCTGCGTGCCATTGCAATTAGTCATAAGAGTTTTAGCTTGCCAGCTTTTTAATTTTGGCTTAGCAATGGCATTTAAATCCACGGGGGGGCGGGGGGGATTCACAACCATGCCAAGATGCTGAAATGACAGAACAAAACTTTTAAGTACAAAACCAGTACAGTATATCCCTTCAGTGCAGCACTGTTGGCAAGTCAGGTTTGTAAAAATAGAATTTCTTATTGTAACCTTTGCTTCCATGTGTGACAGCTATTTGCCCTGGCTTGGATCTGACGGACCACAAAGGGGCCCGGTTTCACGCAAGGTTTGTTTATTTAAAATGCGATTGCACTGGGTAAACCTCCAAAGCCACAACGTGTTGGAGCGCGGCGTGTGCATGTTAAGTACACCCAGCGTTCGCAAGCGTGAAACTATCACACATTCAACAGTGTATACGTCAGACCACGAGGAACAGCTACAGTCCCCTCTAAAAAGTATTGGAACGGCAGGGTTCATTCCTTTGTTTTTGTTTTATATTGAAGCCGTTTGTGTTTCACATCAAAAGATGAATATCAGACAAATGTTCAGAATTCCAGCTTTGTATTTTGGACCAGATTGTAAGTAGAGAGATGAGTCACAAAAGTTCTGGAGCAAAGTTTTATGGACTGATGAGACTGAGAGTAACTTCTACCAAAGTGATGGAAAGGCCAAAATATGGAGAAAGAAAGGAGCTGCTTATGATCCAAAACCCCCAAGCTCATCTGTGAAGCATGGCGGAGGTAATGTCATGGCTTGGCCTTGCATGGCTGCCTCTGGAACAGCCTTCACTCATCTTTAATGATGATGTAACTCATGATGGTTGCTGCAGAATGAATTCTGAAGTCCACACAACCATTTAAAGTAAAATGCATCCAAACTAATCGGGAGAAGCTTCAAAAACAGAGTGACGCGAAACACACTGCCAACACAACAAAGGACTTTGTCAGGGAGAAAAGACTGGCCAAGTCAATCACTGGACCTTAACCCAATCGAGCATGCATTTTACCTCCGAAAGAGCAGATTGAGAGGAAAAAGCTCCACAAACAAACAAGAACTGAAAGAGGCTATAGCAAAGGCCTGGAAAAGCATTTCAAATGAAGAATGCAATCATCTGGTGAAGTCAATGAGTCACAAGTTGGTTGCAGTTACTGCAATTCAGGGTTATGCCACCAAATATTATATGTTATTCACTTTAAGTTAATTTAATAATGTCTATTCCAATATTTTTGGAGGGGACTGTATTTCCGAGGACTGCCATTTGTATTGTCTGTGAAAACGAATGGGCAAACAGATGTAACAAATGGAGATGATGCAACCAAAAGAAAATGATTCATTTCAGTCTCTCTGCTTCCAACCATCACTCTGTGCACAAAACAAAACCGATAGCATTTAGTGCCGCAGGAACACACCATCACAAATAAATAATGCGACCAACGTAGCGGCCGTGGCTACATTGGCTTGCTTACAATACACATTAGCGAGGGGTGTGGCTTTGGTCAATGACTTGAGAGGGGGATAGAGTATTGAAGTGAGGCTGAATTTAAATCTTGCGAGCAGTCCGGAAAACTTCCCTTTAACTACTTTTGGCTGCAATTTCAACACAGTGAAATTCTTTCTTTTTTCAATTAAAGTCCCTGTAAAAAAATAATTCCAGACCCAAATACCAAGAATTCTGCCACCCCGGTCACAGCCTTCTGAGACAGCGTATCCACCCTTGACCAGAACAGATGAAACCATGAAATCCATTCACACTGATCAGTGCCTAAGCAAGGAAAAATGGCATACATGCGTGCCGTAATTAAATTCAGCCCCATGTAGTACGTCTTCTTAGCTAGCGCCGCAGCTTTTATGTCTTTCTAACCACGTGCGTGAAATGGGCTGCTGTGTTTCACGTTGTCACAGGCGCACACAAATCAGCCCTTCCAACATCTGGCCTTGTGAAGCGCTTGGTCGGACACATGTGGTGAGATTAGTCTCACTGTTGGAAATCAAACCCCTGCCACACTGACAGCCTCCCAGAGCCAACAGGCTTGGGGAGGTCTTTGAATGCATCACTGAATTTATTCCTCTGGGGGAGCAGTTTCGCCGAATGACGATGAACGTCTTGTTTATTTGTGTTACGACGCAATACAATCATGCCACCAAGCAATACAATCCATGGCAAGGTCAATCAACGGTCGGCACAGCTGTACTGCATCTCAGCGCTTCAGAAACCATTTTAATGTTATTCCATCAAAACCATCCCAAAGGTGGAGTTATTGCTGTTCTCTGTCAAAGCTTTTGCTTGAAAGAAACAGGCCAACATAGGCAGCACTGACTTACATGTCGCTGTAGAATAGCCTTTCCTTCGCCTGGTTGTAGGCTGTTTGAAACTGAAACCGGCTGTGTGTGTGTGAAGAGTTTCACCTACGTTCACCCCTGGATCTGCCAATGCACGTGACAGACACCACACCGAACAGCCGGTTGATGGACGACTTAGTGAAAGTTGAACCTTTCTTTGACTCGCAAGACACATCAAAGAAGAGCCCAAAGAAATCTTGACAATGCTCACATTGGTTCCCATACATTGACTGTTGGGTTGATGCTTCAAAAAGAAGGATCATTTGATGTATTGTAATAATGGCTAATAATTACGTGAAAGGCAAATTATGCTTTTTATTTATTTTTTAATCCTTGGATTGAATACATTTCCCATACAGTGAAGCCACATTATATATGCGATAATGAAATTCATAAATATTTAGCAGCAATTGAAGGAATATTGTCCACATAAAATATATAAAATAGATCTGAGTTTTTACAGACAGACAAACATGTGATCTGCATTGATATCAAAGAATGAAAGAAACAGTGTGACTACGTTAACAGCTACCAAAGTTTTGGCAAGGACCATCATCTGCCCGTTTCTTTTTTTTTTTTTTTTCTTTCATCCCATGTAGCCAGATGCCACCAAACAATGTAAGCGTGATAAGCATGAGGGTGGCAGTGGCGGAGCAGGCGGGGGTGGACCACCCTGTCACTGGCACTAGCACCAACGCCAGCTGCCTTTGCACTTCATCAATACCGGCACACTTCATTAGCAACGACACCCAGGAGAAGGTGATGTATTGAGAAGGAAGTAAAAAAAAAAATGTTTGGACTTGTTATCATCTTATCAATCAGAAGGATTGTTATCAGTTTGAACATTAAGCAATGATGGCAAAATGGTTGGCTCACTTAAAAAAAAAAGCAAAGCAATCTAAATCACCAACACACTTTCAGAGATTATGTTTGGTCATAGAAAAAAGAAATATGTGGTCGCACACAGTCATGTAACTGGCGATGTGACCGTATTCCAAATTAACGGTTGCTTGATCCACATCAAGATTTGACTTCAGTCCTCAAGCCAAACAAACTACGAGAAGGGGCTTCAATACAAACTGGAGTAAGCAGATGAAAGCCAATGAGTAACTATCGTAAATGCCACCTCCAGACTTAATATTAGCAAAAGGAATATTCTGGGTATTAAAACACTCACCACCCAGTGCATGTTAAGTCATGCATATTATTTTGACCCATTGAATACACAGAGCCGGGGATCCAGAAACAGCAGGTTTTACAGCATGCTTGCCCATGACACACATTTGAACTGGATTATGAGTTTAATAAAGAAACAAGTGGGGAGCACTTAAAATTCCAGGGTGGCACATGAGGTGCGTGTAATTGCTGAAAATCTCAGTGAGTATTTGTGGATAATTACGCTCAACCTGCGAAGGGCCAGAATAAATGTTTAGCCAACAGCACGGCTGAAACAACTTCCCATCCCAAGTGGAAACAGTCCTTGTACATTTGCTTGTGGACAACTAGGAGAGGTGCAGGGCTCGAGGAAAATCGCAGAAATATGATGTAATAAGACCTCTACACTTCACTGGGAGCTACCAAACCGTAGCAATTCAT